GGAAACATTAGGAGCAGCTGAAAAGTGCATTTGGCACGGGACTTCCGTGTTGCTCTAAAGCTTTCCAAGTGGTCCAAGTGCCAAGAGCGCTGCAAGATCTATGCTTTCAGCTCCCTTGCCTTGTGTGGCATTTCAAATAGATATCAATCAGAAACTAACAGCTTTTAAAAGAAAAAACCATAGGCTTTTCTGCRCTTCCTGGTAAAGAACACAAGGAGCCCTGTGCTGGAAGGGTCTCCACATCTGTGGCAAGCAGGGCACTGGCACAGTTAAGCAAAAGCAGGGGCCAAGTCACCTGCCAGAAATAGCCACTTTCCACAGTTATGGCCACATTTTAGTTTAGCTGGTTTCCTTCTCAACAATATTTGTGACAACAGGCTTTTGTTCTTCACAGGTATTGTGTTTAATCACAACAGGTGCTAATGAATGAAAATATAATGAAATAAATAATTATCCCACCAGACCATTAATAACCAAGGAGGAAAAGGCAAGGGAGAAGCCTTGGCTCCAAGCAGGTGGAAGTACTGACCCATTGGACAGCTCCCAGCACTGGACGGGCAGAAATGAAGCAGGCACAGAATCACAGGTTGGAGTGCAGCAGCTGTGAAGRGCTTAAAGGGAAAAACCCATGGAGGCTTCAAAACAACCTGTTAAAACTTGGGTGTGCAAGARGGCATTGGATTTACTTCAGGCTGTTTAATGGTGAACTCCCAGCTCCATCAMATGAGAACACCACACTTTAAAGATGAGGATGATACCAGCCTGATTAAACTGATCTAAATCTGATGAGTCCATGAGAGATCATAAAGAGATAGAGAGAGGAATCAATAAGGCACTAATAGGTGCTAGAGTTGCTGCCTGTAAATCAATTTGGAATTGTCCGGTGCACTGCAGTTCATAAAATACACCACAGGATGTAATTGTGAACTGGACTAAGTGACAAAGGAATTAACATCAAGAGGCAGGAGCCAAGGACTTGCAGCAGGCTCCGATGAGCAGAGCTGAAGGAATAGATCAGCTCCTAGCAGAGAAAACAGTGAGGTCTGAGCATTCGCCGAGTTTCCTGCTTGCCATCAGCATCTGTCCTGGYCCACACTGGCACTTTGGGATGAACTAGGAGGGCAACAAAATTAGAACTTGGACAGCAAAAGCTGAAAATTAAATTCTGGTCAGTGGTCTGGTGAAGGGAATTTTGAAAAATATTCCTATGGCATAAAGGACACTTCTAAGAATTGATTCATTTGTGCTAGAGAAATTCACCTTGTGTCCTGTAGATAACAAAGCTGGCTCAGCTTAATCTAGGCTACAGATTTTGGATGTGGCACCTCAGCTGAAGTCTAAGGTAGAAGAGAGTAATAGCRACAATGAMAAAAAAAATTAAATTCAAATGTCTGTGAGCTTCATCTTCACAAAATCTCTAGTTCAGTCAGTTTTGCTGAGTGACACCCATGCTATCAGCCTGGATATCAAAACTCCTTCCCCGGAGGAAATGAGGTTGACATTCAGGTTCCAGGGGCAAGGGAGAAGAGATGGCATCACCACAAAGGCAAATAGGCAGAGCTGCTCCAAGATGAACAGTCAATCTTAGCACCAGGGTGCTGGGACCTCCCAACCCATTGCTCAACATCCCCTGCTCCTGCAGTCCAAGGGGTGAATGTTACCCAAGCATCTGCAGTTTGAACAGCCCAAAGGATCTGCATGGCACATATCCTAGGAGACTCACTGCCTGCTGCAGGACACTGCGTCTGCCAGGTGCTGCCTGCTTATTCCATACCCTTTGCAAAGATGCAGATATCTTGGCTGTAACTTTGCCAAACATGTTGGAGTGCAACCAGCAAACATCTGTCACAATTGGAGGTCAAAAGCTGTCTTTTCAATCTCCCAGGCCTGCACGGACTGTCTGGGGCCATAAGTCAGACTGCTTCCATTTTGGCTTTTGGGTAGTCCCAAGAGCTTCTTCTATTCATCCTACAGCTTGCTTTTCCTTGCTGCCTTGCCCTTTTTCCATCCATAAATGTGCATGYTAAATGTGGTAAGGATTGATAAAACTGTTACAAAGCTTACTTTATTTCTCTTTACCCAAAGCATGTTGTAAAAATTAATAAATTGAGCTTTCACATTCTTTCCCTCATTTCCAGGGGRAACTGTGAACACAAAACTGTAAGTAGTGCTTTGAGTCTAAGKAAAAGAAGGAATGCTAAAGATAAAAACTCTCTTTCTTCCATGTTAGAGAAAAAAAAAATATTTTTTTCATGGAGTCAATATACTTCTCAATAAATATTTGGCTGCGGAAAGCCTGCAAGGTTTTGTTATWAATGAAGTAAAAAACTAACACAAAYCATGGGTGAGRGACGTGTCAGCTGTCTGGGCAGGGGTTTTGCTGCTCAGGATGAGCCTCCCACTCCTGTTACACACCCACGAGGAAGGTTTGGATCTGAAGAGCAGTGTGATTTCACTGTGCTTACAACCTGGGACTCTTGGGGGTACCAAGTGGCTTTGCTGGGTTGGGATCACTCAACYTATGTTAAGCTTTGTGCCCCACGGTATGGTCCTAAGGCAGGYGGTTCCTGACCTGCCAAAAGCTAGAATATTTAGGAACAGAAATTCYATCTGGAGGAAGACACAAGGTGATWCATTTAAGGAGGTGTCCAGGAGAGCTGTATGGTCTATATRTTGGCATAATATTTACACTAATTCCCCGCTGTAGTTTCTGTTTCTCCCACAGTTTAGGACTGTTCTGCTGCACTGCGAGGATATTTGCRGCTAGTTCACACAGAGACTTTCTCYATAAATCAACATTGTCCAGAAAGAACATCTACAAAAGCACAATATTGACATGCTTAGAATTGCAGCTCTGCAAAGGGACCAGTACCTGCCAGTACCAGGGACTCAAGTACCYGCTTTCTGGAAAGCTGCAGCCAGGCAGCATTCTTGCCTGGGGAAGAGCAGATGTGGAGTTTCCTCTCTCCTTCTTAGAAAGGACCATGAGACTCAAATGTGTTAATTACCAACCACGTTGTTTGATGACAAAATCACCACACTGTTGGGCAGCAGCACCACAGTGCTGGGCACAGGAGAAGAGGGCGTGCCACAGACTGGAGACAAACAGCTGGGAWAAGAATTTTAGCTGAAAGACTGTGACAACCCTCCTCTTTACTTGATGGTAAGCCAATGTAAGTGTGATACTGCCTGGAAGGAAAAGTGGTGCCATGAACTTTTGTAAGCTGATGATCTTTGTCTCCCAGTCAATTTGCTCCTAGAAAGTCTGTAGCCATATGATTGTTTCATGGTAACAGGAACTGTTTTTTTTTTTAAGGAAAAGAAACCCCAAAGATAATTTTGAATCATTCAAAATGTTGTTGTTTACCAGAACAAAACATCTATTCTGATTCTTACTGATTTAATTTATAAGTAAACAAAWTCAAATTGTTGTTTAATCTTTAGTCTTAAATAAAAATCCGCTTGGATACTTTGTTGAACTTGGCTTTCATAATTTGGAAGAAATTTTTTTTTCAAGTGGAGAGGGTCAAAACAGTTTTGCAGAGCCGTTGTTACTACTCTTTTGATAAAATGTGCTAATGTTAGTKAGTGTACCTCAGTACAGCATAGATGAAAATGCAAGGGCAGCTGGGAAGCCTTCACAAGTATCCTGTATCATGTGATGTCAAAAATCCCCAGGCAAATGTAGTCAGAGACAGCAAATCTCTCAAAGGGCTAAAATCCCAGCTGAGTCTCAAACTCACTGTGCAGGCAAGGGCCTGTAATCTGCTAACGAAAAGCAGATGTACGAAAGTCATTCTGGCAGCTACATCTGTCATGCTGCCTCTCCCCCATCCTGCCTCGACAGACCCACTCTTCCTTCCAGTCATGTGTGCTTTTCACATAGACGACAAAAATAGGCAAGCACAAATGCCAATCATGTGAAATTTATCCTTTAAGATAGTCCTTCTTTCCTCATCCTGCCTTACAGCCTGATTGAGTCCTACTGTTCCCTCAGCCCCTCGGGGAAATGCTCTCAGAATTAAGGCCCAGCACGGGGCAGGATCCCCGGGCTATCCCCACACCGACAACACGCCCGTGCTCCACGAGGGACAAACGCATCCTGGTTCTGCACTGCCTATCCTGCTCCTCAGGGATCCTCTCACGTATCCTGCGGCAGGAGCCTGCCGGAGGGGCTCCTGTTGTAGGGAGCACTCCTCGTGTTGTAGGGAATCGGCCCTCAGGGGCTCGATGGCGTCCGGGGGGGCTGCTGCTCCTCCCGCCCCGCCACGATCAGGGCAGCGCTCGGGGGGCTCTGCAGCGCCCAGGCAGCACATCCTGCACTCTCGAGAACAACCCTTGCTGGAGATGGCGAGCTGAGCTGGGCACAGGGGAGGGAAAGCAGCTCCGGGAATGGAAAGCCGGCTGCCCCTCGGGCTCAGGGCGCGGCCCCTCCCGGGCAGGGCGGCCTGTACCCGCGGCCTCCCGCCGGCAGGCGGCACTCGCGCCCCTGAGGAACCGCGGCATTCCCGGGGCTTGTTCCATAGTGCGCCAAGCAGGGAGACGGGGGATGACCTGCAAAAGGCGAGCTCACCGAGCATCTAAACTTCACGCTACTTACACATTTCAACAAGCCAATTAATTGGCTGCAAATTACGTAGCTTTTATATTAATTACTATTCACCCCCCGTCTGTTGGTTGTATCTCTGGCCTCCCATGTTATTTAATCCGCAGGCGCGGTCCTTCCCTCCATCTGAGCCCGGAGTCCCTTCTGAGCAGTGGCCAATGAGCCGGCGGTCGCGATCGCCCACTGCCGGGATTACCATCAGCTTCGCCCGGACGGCTTGGGATTGTCTTCCCTATTCCTTAAAAGACTTAGCCAGGCATCCGATGCTCACAATGCAACTGCTTAATCATAACTGTCCAACTAGCAGCTACTCATTTAAAATATAAAAGGCAAAGCRTGACTCAAACCCCRCGGAGCGYGGYGCCGCTCTCAGGGAAGGTGGCGCAGGCCCCGCCCCGGCGCGGTCACGGGATCGCCCGGCGCAGCGATGGCGGCGCCCAGAGCAGCAATGGCGGGTCGCAGCGCCGTGTGGCTCGGCGGGGACTCGGTGAGGCGGCGGGGGCTGCGCGGGGCAGGGCGGCGGGGACTCGGTGAGGCGGCGGGGGCTGCGCGGGGCAGGGCGGCGGGGACTCGGTGAGGCGGCGGGGGCTGCGCGGGGCAGGGCGGCGGGGGCAGCAGGGCGGGGTGGGACTGACCCGTGTCCCCTCGCAGGTGGAGTGGGTGCCGTGCCCCTACGATGTCCATCACCGCGTGCCCCGAGCGTCGCTGGAGAGGCACTCGGCGTCCTGCCGGCTCCGCAAGATGGGATACTCCGCCGAGGAGGAGGTGGGAGCYCGGCTCGGGGCGCGGGGAGCGGGGCCGGCGCTCGGCGGCTCCGGGCCTTGACCGAGCCCTTTGGTCCCGCAGGCCGAGATGTACGACTGCAGCTTTTTCTACGAGAACCTGAAAGTTCCCACCGTCGCCATGGGTGAGGGGCAGCTGGGCCTGAGGAGAGACCCCCGGGAAAGGGAGGGATGGATGAGGAGCTGGGGGGAGACCCCCGGGGGGACAGAGATGTGGGACTGAGGAGAGACCCCCGGGGAGGGGAGGGATGGATGAGGGGCTGAGGGGACACCCCCGGGGGGGACAGAAATATGGGACTGAGGAGAGACCCCCGGGGAAGGGCAGAGGATGAGGGGCTGGGGGACACCCCCGGGGGGACAGAGATGTGGGACTGAGGAGAGACCCCCGGGGAGGGGAGGGGAGGGGATGAGGGGCTGGAGGGACACCCCCGGGGGGACGGAGATGTGGGAACGGAGGAGTCTGGGTCCCCGCGGTAGCACAGCCCCACTGCCGTGTCAGCTGTAAACTCCTCAAGGCCTCCTGAAAACCTYGAGTGTTTTAATCAGTAGGTTAGTTTTCTCAAACTGTCATTTGCAATTTGCCTTAATTTTCCGGTTTTATGCTTTTGTCACTGTGTAATTCTGTAACTCATTATTATATTTTCATCTTAAAATGCAAGGAGGATCTGTTTTTCCTCTTAAGAACTTCTGCCTATGTTCTCTGTCCCCACTATTGCATCAAATGCAGAAAGTGTATCAAAATGCATGCTTAGAAGATGGGAAAACTATAGAATCAGGGGATAAAGCAATGGTACAGAGAGTGATATACATACATTTATTTTTCCATATCCTTGTAACCCACAAATACTTTTTTTTCCTTAATTTTCTCCCCTCATTTCAAAAACTGAATAGATGAAAATTACACTTTTAGTTCAAATGTCCCCTTATACATGAATAAAACTATGATGTTCTGTACCATACCATAAGTCTCGTAATAGATGTTGAGTAGTAAAGACTAACCCATTCAAGAACTTGATGTAAAAGTTCTCTGATTTAATTTTCTTCTCTGCTTGCAGATAAAGATCTACAGTTTCATATTGTTAAGCAGGCTAGAGCTCAAAGTGTGAAGGAAGGTGCAGGCTACAGCGAAGGTAAGGAGCAAGCAAAGACTTTGCCAGCCTCCTGTGGAAAGCTTCTCTTGTCTYCCTCCTTGCTGCCTCCTTCATGGCATTGAGAACTGCTGTGAGGAATTTCACTTTATTTGTATTTAATATTCCTTCCCCTGCATATCTTGGAGCATGACTACTTTCTATACTAGGGGCAACTAGATGAGAGACTGAGTYTGTTGTGCTCATACCTCTGTTATCTTCAGGACTGAAAAAACGAAACATGTRTATTACTATGTTGGACTGTTTCAAGACCAACCTAAGAAGTTTTGTAAGAACTATGCTGTCACATCTGCAAATGTGATGTTGTCCTGTGTCACTGGAGCTTGCACCAGTGAGTTTTGTGACCAGCCWGGGGACCAGGCTAAAACAGAAGAGTCTTTGAAGGTTCCAGCTTAGACAAAGTAGAAGAATAGGGCTACCTATGGAATCCATAGAGGTTGAATGTATGATTGAGAAATCACTGTGAAGATACAGCATTTGGTCTCTGTAGACTGTGGTTTGTTAAACATATGGGCAGAAGGAAAAGTGTGTTTGTCCAACTTTTCTGACAGTGTAATACAGCAGCACTTGCTCAGACACATTTTTCATGTTGTCTTTGTTTCTCTGGCCTGGCAAATAGAGGCTTAATGAACGGTTGCTTSGGAAACAGATTTTCTGGAATTAGCACTGTGTTTTGTGCACATTGGGTGCACTCCCCTCTGGAGGGAAATTGGAAATCATTCATTTGACACAAGCACATCCAAGTAGAGAAGCAATAGATAAACCCTGTGTGGAATGGTTCATTATAGATGTGCACCAGTGAGCCACTAGATGCCARTGTTCACTGCCCAGATTTCCCTGCAAGCTTGCCTTTGCCTGATGGTAACACTGAAACTGGATTTGTGGTTTTCATTGTGGCAACTTGGCCTGTTGTAAGATTTACTGACGTGCAATTGTTTGTGGAATTTAAAGTCTTTGGCAACAGAAACAAATGAAAGTACTTTTTATTGTACATTTCCTTTTGATTCATTGTATCAAAGGAAGTGATTTTTTTTTTCCTTGTTTTCTTTCCTTTTTTTCAATTCTAACCATATTTAGAATATTAGCATAGCTACATTGTAGAACAGAAAAATTCAATCACAAGTTGTGTAATTCTTGTAATTATCAGTGCRTTTTTATGGACTTCTGTGACATGTAAGAACTGTGCATTTTAAAAATAGAATTCTAGTTTTTATGTTTAAATCCATTTGTTCATGTTACACTAGTTCTAGTTTAGGTTCCAAGGTACAATAGTGATGAAATCCTGTACTTTAGGTTTGTTTGTAGAGTTACTGTGGTTCCTCTTCCTCTTCTTTGATGGCTTTAGTTAAAGGAGGTTGTGAAAAATTGCCCAGCTTCTATTAGAAGCTGAATAATCTGGAGAAGCTGTAGGTTTGCTGTTGTAAAGGGTGTTGCATACACCCTTCTTATGTGTTGGGTCTTCTGTCTGTCTGGAGATGCATGGGATTGTGTGGGAGAAGCAGAATTGTTGAGTTCAGGTCAATGGTGGCTGGAAAATTGAATGTTTCTGACTAAAATGCTTTCTTGCAGGCAATGCCCCACGGTGTTGCATCCTGTATCTTTATGGAAGATTAATATTTCTGTTATTTCTGTTATTTCTTAATATTTCTGTTGCAATTGGAGGCATGTTTTGTTTTGTTTGGAGGCATGTGTGTTTTAACTGGGGAATGGGAAAAGTGAGTATCAGGCTGACAGATCAGAGAAAGAAGAGTGCGCAGGCAGCGTATTTGTTTCCATAAGTTTAAGTCAGTTCTCTGAATTGATCTGGAGTACTTTGAAAGTGCCTTTGCAGTCCTTTTAGCTATAAATTCCTGTGGCAGTCTATTATAAAAGCTCTGTAAAGAAGGTGACAGTGTGAGTGAGACTGATTTACACAGTGCTCAGTTATTGAGTCTCCTAGAAGCTTTCCTTCTTGTTGGCAGAACAGGTATTTTGCAGCTAGTACTTTACATAACATTTATGAGTAAGATAAACCCACAAGTTAGAGCTGCAGCCTTTCTTGATTTCACTTGTAAGCCAAGAGCTGAAACCCATGGGAAATTACAGAGTGTCATTTTGATCTAATCTAATACAATTCCTTCATGGCATATAAAAACCTGTATCTGTGAGCAATCAAGAGGGGTTATACAGCCTTCATGGGGCTTGGGAGGGATTTGGGAGGGATCTTTGAGCAGTTTTTATCTTTTCAAATTAAGAAAGTTGAAACTTCTTACAGATAYGTCTTTTTTCCTCTTTTTGGGGAAGAGGAAAACAGCATGGGAATTTACTGCATTTTTTGTTGAGCATCTTGGTGTTTTCCTGCATAATTACACTATTTTACAAATAACAGCTCTCTGTCCATCCTCCAGGATCTTACTCATTACTGCCTGTAGAAGTTCCTCAAAACCACAAGCGTTTCACCTGTGACCTGACTCAAGCTGACCGCCTCGCTCTTTATGATTATGTTGTTGRGGAAACAAAGAAACAGAGGTCAAGATCCCAGATAACAGAAAATGACAGTGATCTCTTTGTGGATTTAGCAGCGAAAATCACCCAAGGTTTGAAGAACGATCTGTYGTTGAATTTATGGTTCAGAGCTTTTAGTTTGTCCAGTAATGTGAGTTTTGTTGAAAGCCAAACAGAATTATTTTTGTGGAGAGCATACTGTTCTTAAAAGCCACAGCAAAGATCTGGCATCAGAAAATGCTAGTTTGATGTCTTTTCCTTCTGGAAAAGCCTCAGTGCTCTGCTCTTGGCACATACGTTATGTGTATCTCAGTGGATGGATTTTCTGTCTTTGCTGCAGCTGACTTCAGGTTGCTTAATGTTGCCAACTTGTTGTGCAGCTCAGACCAGTTATTTGCTGTAAGAGATGATGAGATTAAAGATCACTTAAGAGTAAAAGCTGAACAGGAGAGGTTGGCAGTCATCCAGGTGGAGCTCTTGAGCAGTATACTTAGGTGCATTGGTCCGGGGCCTGTCATCCCTCTTGAGTCATGCCCGTCTGTAACTGTACCGAGTGTAGCAAAAGCATCTGTGTCATCCTGTGGGCCCCACTATGCCTGGGAGGTGAGATGCTGCTTGTCATCTACATAGGTAATTTATTTACATAATCTGCCTTTCTCATTCTGTGTCTTGCTGTACTACTGGTTTTGAAAACATGGCCTGTATTTGGAACGCATTTCACCACATTCCAAGCCCATAAATTGGTTTGGATCATGGTTTGGAAACTGAGATCACATAACAGTGTTTGCTTGGGTGGCTTTTTAGTYGTGTGTGAACAGCCAACAAGAAGGCTGGGGAGGAAGCTTGAGATAAATTCACCATAGTTACTAAATACAGGAGAAACTTGAGAAAGAACACAATATATTTTATGTTCCTGTATGTAGAGGCCTGCATACCTGGTAATGTCCTGCTAATGACCATTTGCTTACTTCCAACTTTTTGCTAGATGATAGTCAGAAAGGTCCAAAGTCCCATCTTGAAATTCTGGCTGAAATGCGAGATTACAAAAGGCGGCGGCAGTCATACAGAGCTAAGAATGTTCACATAACAAAGAAGTCCTACACTGAGGTGAGATCTGAAAATAAAGGCTTTTTTTGCACAGAAATGCTTATTATATATCAGCATAAACAATTCTATACTCKTTCAAAAACAAAGAATATGTCTCTTTCTCTGTGTCTTGTACCSTGCTTTATTATTGTTGCAGGCTATAAAGGAATGTTTTTGGTTTGTTGCAGCAAGTTATAAATAATGAACATTTCTAACGGATAAGTTTTGAATGTGAAAATGCCAGCAAGATACAGCTCACTGTCATAACATGGTGCTATTTAAATTGATGTTGAAACATGTTTCTGCAAATAAGACTTTCCATTCAAACATCTGATGTATAGGGTTTTGGGGGAGATTTTTGTGGGGTTTGGGGTTTTTTGRATGTTTACAGTTTGTATAGTGCTAGTTCAGGCCCTACCGTGGCATGTTTGTTTTTGACATATTTTAAYCTCCAGGTGATTCGGGATGTGATTGGTGTGCATATGGAAGAGCTCAGCAATCAGTGGCAGGAGGAGAACAGCTTGGATAATGCAGACTTATGTGAAGGAGGGAAATCAAAATCTTCAGGAAGGTATGCCACAGCTGAAAGATTCTTCGGGCATGGAGCAGATTGTAATTTTGTCTTATCACCTTTTAATAGCTCATACCAGCCTTTTCTGAGTCATATGCAGAGTTTATTTTATACTAATTTTATTAAATCTTGCTCAAGAAGCTCTGCCTGCATGAAGCATGGGGAGAAATTAATTAGTATCTCTCTTTCAGAGGTAAGTAGGTTAGTTGCAAGTGATTCAGCTGAACAGGTAGTTTCTGGTGGAGCTGGGGGTGCTCAGATGTGTGTGTATATGTTGTAGCTGGGTACAGAAGGACACTTGAAAATACAAGTACACGATTTCTTACCCTTCTGTACCACATGACATGTGGTAGATATATTACACCTCAGAGTAAAGGTTTCCATAGCATAATAAAGATGGGGAGGCTTTACAGTTCTTATCCCTGTAAATCTTGCTGTGCTAATGGGGAATGTGCTTTAGCTATACGTATTTCTGCTGTGTCAAGCAGCACTGCACACCCTTCTAAACATTTGTCACTGAAGTAAACTTGGAATCATGACCTGATGATAGCCTATTTGTGCCTCTTCAGCAGATATTTGAGAGGAGAATGTTTTTAAAACAAACTAGAAAGTGACACTCTGTTCCTTGCATTAAAATGAAGATGAATGGGTGGCAGAGCATTGGAACAGACTGCCCAAGGAGGTTGTGGAGTCTCCCTCTCTGGAGACATTCAAGACCCACTTGGACACGTTCCTGTGTAACCTGCTCTAGGTGACCCTGCCTTGGCATGGGGAGTGGAGTAGATGATCTCCAGAGGTCCCTTCCAACCATAATGATTTGTGAGATCAGGATTTGGGTTCTCCAGCAGTAGGTTGCAGCTTAAGGCAGGTGGTTGAAGAGTCAAAGATTTAAAGCAAAACAGAGTAAATGTCTTTTACTGCCTCCTGTTTCACAAGCAGAGGTGTTAAGACCTAGGAGCAGCGTTTATAAGAAATAATTGGATTAAATAGTGTGCTGAGATATGCACATACAAGAGCATGCACTTTGTGCCTTTTTTGGGAGGTATTGTATTTCTYAGAGAGGCTTAACAGAAGGTATGTCCTCTGTCTTACACTGTTAGTAGGATATTATATTACAAAACTGGTACTGAAAACAGTGACTGTGAAACTATTTTTATTGATTAAAATCAATACGTTCTTTTTCAGAAGGGAAGACAGACGGTCAGCTTCAGTGGACTCCCGGCAGTCTGGGGGAAGCAGTAAGGATACAGAATGCACAAGACACAGGAGAGACGGCAGCAGGAGTCCAAGTAAAAGAAGAAGGAGTCGTGAGAGAGGCAAAGACAGAGACTCTCGGAGAAAAAGAGAGAGGTGAACAGAAACAGGGACAACTGACTCCTGCTTCTGAATCAGAGAGCTGTAGCCACGATGATGTAGTGCACAGGTTGAGAAGATGCAGTCCAGATAAAGAGCTAGGCTCACCTCATGTGCAGTATGACAAGCCAGTGGCATGAGGCTACTACTAAACAAAATATGCTGTGAGATCATAAACTGTGATCTAGATTTTAGAACTTACTCTCACATCTCAAAGGTGGCACTTCCAACAGCATGCTGCAGGACTGCAACAGTRCTGTAACAAGCTATTTATTTTACTCCTTGATGAACATGGTTAAATGGACTCATCCACAACTAAGTGCTTGTCATGTCTAATGCTGATTTCTGCTCTAGTTTGCTCTAGACCTTAATAAACACGATTATTTKTTTCACTAATATGCATACACTAGTCTTTCCATATTAGATACTTCAAAACAATGCTGTTGCTCTACAGTACTTCTGGACACACAATTTAGCAAAAGAAAACAMATCTAGGTCACACCTTCTAATACCATCAAAAAGGACATATTTACATCTGCAGGACCATAGGTGTGTGCCCCCTGTGTTTGAGCAGAGATGAGGACTGTTATGCAGAAGAAATTCTGCCTTGTCCTTTATGTGTATGGTAAATGCATTACATAACTGCGTGGATGGAAATGATGGCTTGTCTCAAAGCTGGCTCAATTACACCGTGCTGCCATTCATCCTAAACTAATTGCTATTCTGGCACTGCATTACACTGCTTTCATTAAAGCAGCAAGGAAAATAAACTGTCTTAAAGCAGTTTACTTTCTTTCTTAGAGGAGGACATGACTACATTTAATGAGAGCTTTCTATTTTCCAAGTTGTTTTTTCCCCTTCAGACTCTATCATTCTGAGCCTAACAGCCCACACTATGTTTATGTTTTTGTTGCAGGGATGAAGACAAGTATCACAACCATAAAAGAAGAAAGTAGAAACAAGAACCTCATTATTTTGTTTGTCAGCTGTTCAAAATTTAACTTGCACAAGAACTGTTGTTACTCTTTTGCTGGAGACAGTAAAGGTGTGCACATAATACTGGTGTTGCATCACACCTATGCTGCTTGGAGACCAAAAYGTGTTAAGGTTTGTCAGGATGGAAACAGTGTATTTCAGGAAACGTGTAAATCTGTAACATTCATACATCTATTAATAAATTATATTGATTTCTCATGTGTTTGAGTTTAGTGTGACAAGGCTGATGAATAAAGTCTAGGAGAGGTTGTACTTATTGGCCTTCCTGGCCTATAGGCAGTRGATATAGAAGAGAGCTAATTCCTGGAGTCCAGGATCAGTCACAAACAGGGAAGGCATGAAGGGAGCTGCCCTCCTCCCTAACACTGTCACCTCTAGGTGACATTGCCTAATTACAGCATATAGCAGAGGGCAGATTTCAGAGTTCTCCAACAGGCTAAAGCCTCTCCAACTGCGGATAGTGTTAAATGGAAAATAACACAAAAGTTAGTGTTCCCAGGCTCATATGCAATGAAAATTGGGGTCATTATCGTCTGGCAAAGGTGATGAGAATGTAGCTCTCCACAGAAGCTAGTGGGGAGGCRCCAAGGACACTTGGAATATTGCTGAGTACCATATTCAAACACCATGTGCTTTTTYGTCCATGGGAAGACTTCCCATCCTATGGACTAGCATACAAATATTTGTGATAGAGATTGATAAAACAGACTTAAAGCATGCAGATACATATTAAAGATGTGCAGTTCTGTGATTCCTCACACAATCTGCTTCAGCCACAACAAAATAAGAAGCTATAAAACCAAGCTTTCAGATGCATCTTTCTTAAAATACTTGTTTGATCAACGTGGGAGGAGAGGGCACTCCATGTTCCTCCTGGTTTTGGCCTTCTCAATCAAAGGGAATCTTTCCAGTGTTACCATAGCCACTAGTATCCTCTTTCACATCTCAATTTTTTCTGCAATTAAGTGTGATTACCTGTCACTAAATACGTGGTACCTATAGTTCTAGGTTTCCATACCTGCTACAGCAGTCCAACCAAAACAACTCTGTGTCAGGTATTTTTTACCTACATGACAACTGCAGTAGCTTTTCCTATCAGAAAACAAGACATATTTTCAAACAGATATTTAATTAGACAAGTTTATCTAAGAATGGAAAAAGGTATTTAAGTTCTGAAAGGGTTCTAATTAGAGGGAAAATAATATGGAACCATTGCAGTCCTCTCTTGCACTGGTTTTGTTCTGCCACAGAGTTCTCATTAAGTTCTTTCAGTAGGGCTTGGTAAAAGAGTTTGTTAAAATAGAAGATGTCCAGGCTGACGAGGTAACCCAAGGACCAGCTGTATTAGTGCAAGAGTCAAAATGAAGTCAATGCTACCAGAAGCTYAATCAGAAATGCTCCAGTTATAGCTGCCCAGTATTAACTGAATTCCATGTTTTACTTAGCTCATAATGTAGCTAGGAAGCTTGGTAACAAAACAACTTTTGTTCAATTTAAGCAGATGCATGAAGGGGTCACTCCCTAGGGGTGTCAGTATTTGARAGGCAGSAGAACAGTACAACSATGCTCTCAATTAACATCTCTGAAGTGCCATCTAAAGAGTAGGACAAAGTAAAGGAAATGCCAGAGAAGAGGATCATGTACAGATACATGAAAATTATGATACTTGGAACACAAATTATTTTCTTGAACTTATTTATTCCATTTTTTCTTCCTCTCRTCTCATGCTGAAGAGTAGGGTTGATCAATAAAATATGAAGGAGTATGGCAGGAAGTGTCTAATCAGTACCATGCCAGAGTGTTCATCCCTGGAAAAGAATAAACCAAATGTTTTAGAATGGCACTTTCACGTGGTAAATCCTAGTGTGTCRGACAAGATACAATTTAGGGCTATATGAAATGCAAGCAAAAGGGGTGGGATTAAAAAGTCATTCTTACTAAAAACTGTCAATCTGATAACTAATGATGAAACAGTTATTTGTATTCTCTTGTTTTGGAGCTCCCATGAACTTGGAGCTAGTGGCAATCTAAAGCAGTGTATGGAGTGTATGGCAGTGTTTTTTTKGGGGAGGTGGGRGCCACAGTGGTGAGCTTCTGCAAGAAGCTTCACCCCTGTTCAACAGAGCCAAAGCCAGACTGCTCCAAGACAAACCTGCCACTGGCCAGGGCTGAGCCCAGCAGCAATGGTGATAYATGACCCCAGAGGTGCTATCAGCCTTACCATGCACAGAAAGAATTTCAGATAGACAGTAGGAAGAGTTAACTGTCTGTATGCAAACATGCTATGCAGGCAGCACTTGGAGGACAAGCCTATTACARATCTTTTTAAATTGATTAAAGTGCATTTCATATGACCTATGTCTGACTATGGATACAATGAGAGAATTCCCAGTCTCTCTCTGGTTTATGACCTATGTTAACTCAAAAGAACAGCCCAGAAGACGCTGCTGGTTCCAGAACCAACAATACACAGATGATAAACACCTGTATATAATAGCTTCCTACAGCGAAAATTATGCCACCAGACAGCAACTTCAAAATTTCAGAGAAAGATGGATAAATAAGAACTTATCTTTTAACAGTGCCCACTGAAGTTGACAAAAACCAACTTTTGATATAATCTTARTCAACCCTTACTCCTGTCATCATGGCTATACCCCAAGTGAAGATACACTGTTGTCCTAAAATTAATGGCTTATGGAGAACCTAGAGGGATCGATACRTTAAAATTCCATGCATGGATTATAACTTACGCTTGTGTTTTAATTCCTTCAAGGAATTCTTCAGTTTCTGTCTCTGATATCTCTCCRTCAATACGGGCCAAATATGAATAAATGAACGAGAATGTTTCGAAGGGAATTCGAGCTGCTCCGCCTTCTGGGTCGGTTGTTAAGATTTCGCAGGCCTGYTTCATTGAACTCAGTAAGGACTGCAGGGAGTTCCAGCAAGAAATGAAAAGTATCAGAGCAATCAACATCTTAGCGTACCATGACAAAATCCACACTGTAAACCATTCAAAGTGAGGGTAAATCAGATGAAGSTGTTATCATTGTTGCCTAGCTTTAAACTCCAAATTTACTCTTCTAGTGCAGGTCCAAGGATGGAAACAATAATGTAGTTCTGGTAGAGACAGGAATAAAAAATACCAGAAACCTATGATGGTTAAAGATTGCATAGGGTGATCTGAGCTCTGTCTCAGGCCAAATTGCTCTATTCTGCTACTGTAAAAGYTCCAACATCACTGGATCTAGTGAGAGACACTGAATATGTGTGTGTGTATGTGTATTATCTCAGTGGTTCAAAAAGAATTTTCAGCAGCATCTACAACCTCTAGAAAATKAAYRTTTAACAATTGTRTTATATGGTATTTATATTATAATTGGATTGTATTTTTAGCTGATATTTACTGTTTCCTCTGTCTCTCTGCAAGTTCCATTTTAGTAATTGGTAGAAAAAGCGTTGAGGCAAAAAGCATTAAAAGAATATTTCCGTTTACCCAAAGGCCAATAACATTCAAGTTACCTTTAAAAACATGCCTCAGATTATAAGTTCCAAAWACACTTTGAAAAAATCCTTTATTTAATATGGTGTTGATAACCCAGTGCCCTGTGCATGCTGAGCTATATGGGGAAAAGTGCRGAAAAATTCAGCACTGAGTTTCAATTCAGTCAAAAACAGGTTGGATGCCATTAAAGAAACAAACAAATAAAAACACACACACACACATACACAAAATAAAAGCACAAAACCAAACCCTCAAAGGCATTCTGTAAATCAAGTTGCAATATTTCTTAATGYGACTTTTCCTAAATTGTCTTCTCTTTCATTAACAAGCAAACAATGACTACATTAAAAGATTGTATTTTTTAGCAGTAGAATAGCAATACTTGAAATAAATGCAGTATCTGTTTAAGATCTAGAACACAGACCAGAGAAGTGTCACCTTAYAATCCTTTAACTTAACTTAAATCCTGCATTTTTACTTAATGTATCTCCTCCCCTGGGAGGCTTCTCAGGGAAAAGAAAGGCAGCTGACTCTATGATGGCCAACTCTGCATTTTGCATTTGGATAACCCTCTACTGCCCTTTCTGGCCCTGCCACCCCAAGCTGCCATTGTCTCTCTCATAAAACAGCAAAGTTATWCCTATCCATTGTGCCACCTATAAATGACAATTTAACATGCTATTTGTGTGGTCATTTCTCCAGAGCTTTTGCAAAAACACATCGGTGCTTTATGAAAAGGATAATTCAGACTGGTGCTCTCCACAAGTTCATACTTTCTTACTCTTGTATCTCAGCTGTGACTCTGTTTGACTGTGAACACAATTTACAGCTGCAGGAAATGAATGTAAATTTCTTGTKTGTGTCTTTCTTTCTAGTTTAGGAAAGAGAAGTTTAGGTTTCATTAAGCAGCACTGAAATCAAATAATTAACTTAATATCCAAAAGGATGGTGAGATGGAAGTAAATTTAGGCTGTCTAGCTCCATCAGAATGAGGCTCCTGTGACTCCATTTTTTGTTTTGGTTTGTTTGGGGGTTTTTTGTGGGGGGAAGGGGGTTGGTGTTTTTTAGATAAGTAATGTAGATATTAGTATTTTAAAATGGAGAAAAGAGTCCAAACTACAAGATCATTTTGGGAGTGAGATTGGAATCAAGAAATACAGTTGAAATAAATATAAAGACACACACTATCGCATTGTCAGGTCAACATTCAGGGTTTCCAGATATTGCAATATTCACAAAATACTATTTCATACATATTTTCTTTTTAATACCTCTTCTTCCCTACCATAGAAATCACTAAAAGTATTATACTTCATATGAACATCAGCTTAATGCATTTTGTAATCTTTCATTCTATTCAAATCCTTTGCTGAGATTTTATTGCTGACATGAAAAGAATTAAGTGTAGATTTAGTAACATTAACTGCTGCTGTGAAAAATTAATTGGCTACACAGTCCATTAAAAATTGCTTCTTTAATTTCTCCCTCCAGYTCTTCTCCATGGACATTTACATTGATGCCATCAGCATCATTCCTCTGTCATCCTCTCTCATATGGCACGAGCTCYCTGCAGACATGTTTGCTCTCCTACTGCCACTCCTGTAAACTGAGGACTTAGCCATTCTTCTGGGTGAGTTCCTCTGACCAAAATCTGATTGGCAACAGCAGTAAACATGCAAGCCACTTTGCCAGCTGCTGCAAAAGCAATCACCATTCCCCAAATCCATCTGCATTAATTGTTCTATGGCATATTATGTATCTGATTCTAGACAACCACTTATGTTTGGATGYGAGGGCTCCAGCTGTGAACGTACCTCACCAAGCACACTGCACCCAAGTGCCAGAAACTTCATCCATTCCACCTCCTCGCCAAAACTGTCCAGTTGCAGGATAGCTTTCAGCTGTGCCTCTGGCAAGCCCAAATCCTTCCATTTTTCTTCCAGTTCAGCAACCATCACCGTGTCTTTGGAAGAAAGCTTTAAACAAAATCATGGTACCACAATAAGACTCCAAAAACCAGAATCAATTAAAGAACACAGTGCTTCCCCAAAATACTTCWAATACTTGACAGTCTCTCTCCCCARCCATCTCCAACACATCAGCATTCCKCAGCAGCATTRTGCATTTGATAAAGAACAGCTTGTACCTGATTGTGCAAGACTTTAAGGAGTCCTGGGGTCAAACCAATTCCTGTTTTCCCTGTTGCTAAAGCCATTTCAAGCCTGTCCTTCACAGGAAGGGGTTCACCTTTAGACAAGGCTGAAAAATACCTAAGAGAATGGAAAGAGCAAYACACCTCAATGCCATTATGAACTGCACTGGACATAAATGCCCTTAACAGTTCAGTGAATCCGAAGGCTTCCCCACAGGAGCAGCAGCACTTGCAAGCTGCCTGAATGCACAAGTCCCGTCTCCCCRTGCTCAGAAACACAAACTTTATAGACTTGACATGTTCCTTTTCATGACAATTTAATAATTCTTAACACATTTAACTTATTTTGTGCATGATATACTCAGCATGTTTGATGAACCTGAGGGCTCATCAACCCCTTCATGCACTACCCAAAATGTACATCTGCCTATTCACACTGCAACTCTCTCTGCTATTTCTGCCTGCTCCAAAATAAAGTTTAAGAGTAGAGCATAAAGGGCATGAGATGCACATCCTTTTAATTATAAGGCAGCCACAACCTTAAGAGCAACTGCCTCTGCCTTAACTGGCCAGCAATCTGAATTGTGCTGATACATATGGTCTATATCAAAGTGACAAGGTGCTTATGAGGCCTATTAATTGAAAACTTTCTATAGCCTTTTTATACGTTATCAATCTAAGAATGTAGTAAATTTTTACATATTACTAAAATACAGTGTAATCACTTTCAATATATTATCAATGATAGCTTTTTTATATATTGCTATAAGTTTTTTAATCGTGTATTAGCAACACATAGTATACCAGCTGCACGTAATCTAACCAGCTGGATTGGTACATAGATACGTGAAATCACCAAGAGGCATAAATCAGAAGAGTTCTGAAGAAAGTAGACAGGTAGATGCTATAACAAGGAACAGCAGAGAGCACTAATGAGAACTTGGCAGAAGCACGGGACAATCAGCAAAATAATTGGAAATTACGTCTTGGAGGACTAGAAAAAAACCCATGAACATCTCAACTGCACATGCCCTGAAGACAAAGGTGGAAAGTCCACCCTGATGAAGAGGATGGTATCTCATTAGAGGGAGACCCCCGTGACCACTGAATTGAGGATGACAAATGCACACTTGTAAAACTGTGATATCATGCATTTCCGTGCCCATGTATAGTAGTGGGTGTATGGTAGGCATATGGGGGGCAGTGACAATGATAATGTTACACCATGCTTACTGTTTAAATATGTGCTAATTTGAAGCAAAGGCAGGTGGGTTGGGAGGAAAAATCCCCCTCACCTCCAGCGCTGCAAGAAATAAAAACCTGCTCTATAGACACAGGTCTATGGAGTTTTATTTCTAGGCCTTTACAGGCATCAGTGCCAGGAAAACTCAGTTTTCATTCAGTTCCATTTAATTTTAAAGTCTCTCCACTTGTCCTGCCTCACCTGCCCTGGGCACCCATGTCCATGTCCAGGCTATCCCATGCTGTGCAAATACCTGCAAACGGCACAGCCAGCAGCACTGCAGAACTGAACTGGTTCGGCTGTACATACACAGATACGTGGCGTGCATGCACATACAACACCCGGGCTGTTTTKCAGCCAGATCCATTTCCCCATCTGATTATTCGCAGGGACAAGCACTACAACACCGGCAGCACACGCTCTGCTTTACTTGGCTCCCACAGATCTCGCTCTGCTCAAGTGCTCCAACACGGGCGTATTCCGGAAAGGGGGTGTGCGATCGGCAGCAGCCGCCCACCCATTTGCGGGGGCTCCTCCCACCGAGCTGGGGTTATCTTTAGGCAGAGCTGTGGGGCCGGGCAGTGCCACGCTGCCCCTATTCTATTCTCGCCAGTCCCATGTCCCAGCAGGCTCCAGCTGCAGAGGTACGCCGCCGCACATCACCTCCATCACATTCCTAAGAAACGCCACACCATTTAAAAACGGTCCCGCTGGCTTTCTCCAACACTGCAGCTGTAACAATTCAGCTTCAGATTCTTTGCATTTGAACAGATAAGCCAGACTCCAGTCTGGCTTTGTTAACAGCCTCCCCTCCCTCATGTACACAGTGTAGACGTTTTCCAATCCCCCTAGCTGGGAATATCTCACAGACAGCTTTCAAGAGCTTGCCCACAAACCACAGGACACAGTGAGCAGTTGAAGTAAAAGGAAAAAACCCAGAAATTAAAGAAGAAAAATTTAAACATCTAAATCAACTTTAAAGCAAGAAAGTTATCATGCGGATTCTCACTCCAAAGATGTACTTTTTCATGCACTTTTCCCAGAAAGAGAGAAAAACCTAACCAAGCTTATGTGTTAAAAAGCTAATTTCTATTTTCCCTCTAAATTCCAAGAATTAATCTCAGATTAGAAAAAAAAACAAACTAAACCAAAAAGAAAAAGGGTTGGTCTTTCAGATAGAAAAATAATAACAAAAATCAAATTAAAATCCATTTTTTTCTGKATGAAAATCCTGCTATTTCAGAAGTAAGCCAGTCCTAAACCTCAAGGAAACAAAATAAATAAAGTACCACACTGCTTAAAAGGCTTACATACTGCATTAACACACAGAAGTGTGTATACAATGTACATGCTTATTCAATATTCAAAGCCACATTCACTATACAATAACGAGGAGCAGTGAGATGTTGAGGGTACATGTGTTCAACTCCGTTATGTGAACCTTGTACTTACGCAGCAGCCCACTGCAAAACATCATAAGGCTGAGTCCTAATAGCAGCTTTAGTAAATTGCTTCAGAATATCAGGTAGCTCCGGAGGGATTTTGATCTGCTGAGCGCAGAACATGGTTTCTGGAAGAGGCATGGTGTCCAGTCACAAGGACCTGAAACAAAAAAACCAGCAGTTCACAGATGCAGAATGTGAATGAAAAACTCAGTGTGCACACAAGAATGAACAGTGGCTATTCTCAAATCCCCTCCTGTCCCACTCGATAGCTGGGGCTRCTGGAGAGCTGACAGACACCAAAGGGTAAACAAAGATGCCCTGGGTGGCTCTAAAAGACTTCAACTCTGTGGCAACATCAAGTAAAGCACTGGAGCTTGGGCATCAATCACAGCCCTGGGTGAGGAGAACTACTTCAACAAGTATCTTCAGATAGTTTTAAACTGATTTTTCTCCTCAAATCCACCACAACATAAATTTGTAAAACGGGCAGCCCAGACAAGTCACACCACACATGCCAACATGAAACCTATCTACATTGACAACTCACTACRGCATGCCAAGGAAAATGCCAAGGAAAATCCTGGCATTTCTGTACAGATGACAGAGTATGCAGATGACCAAGTTTCTACTGTGTTTATATAKTCAAAAAATGCTGGAGCAAAGAGTTACTAATTTGTGCTCCTGGCAGACTTTACATTAAACAATTATAGTGTTCATGTGTGCTGCAAGCATGCATTGTGCTCATACAGCTCTACAGGTGTGTTTGTCTCATTCAGGATRTAACTCACTTGTTGCAAAGAATCCTGTTCCCCAGGATCCAAAAGAAGGGACAGACCATTGTATGGTCCTTCTCCCACCACAGAAATGGGGCACATTTGGTGGGAAATGAGTATTCTCCTCATTATTGCCAGGACAAACTATGGCCTGCTTAAGTTGGTTTCGCAACAAGATCAGAAAACCCATTAGCTATTCACAGAAAGGAGGAACAGTGAAAACAACTGCATCAAGAAAGGAACTAATGTAACAGAATCCTCTGTCCCTTTAGACTTTTTTAAGATAAAAATAAGAGTACCTCGCAGGTGGCTTTCTCACGTGAATTTTCCTGTAGTGGAAAAAAAAAAATGAAAAGTCAGTGACAGAGCTATGAAACTGCTGTGACTCAARGCTCCTTTGAGAATCAAACCGTACTTAGAACCTTATTTATGGAGAAAGGCAGACAGGGTACAGCATCTTCATCACWCCAACGCAGCCTATTTGCATCAGGAACAGACTTCAAAGTGCGCATTTAATTACCACATTGGTCACGCGCTTTCAATAATTATTCAAAAATACAGCTCTAGCCAAGGAACTAAAGCCGAAGGCAAAAAAGCTGAGGAAAAACGGAAAAACTTTGAGGAAGGAATACAAGTGTGTGTATGTACCCTTGGGAAGCAGTCAAATAAAAGAATAAAAATATAATCAGAAAAAAAAAAAAAAAAAAAAAAAAAAAAAAAAAAAAAGCAGTGCAAGAGCTGCTTTTCTACAGTAAGCCATTAATTACAGAGCTTCACAAAAGGGCAGAGATTGGCAGAGACCTATTGGAAGTCAGCTGGTATGGCCACTGCACAAGCTATGAGCAGGCTGTCAAAGATCCTTGTCCAGGTGGCTTTCCAGTATCTCCAAGGGATGGAGACGCCACATCCCCCTGGGCAATCTGTGCCAGTGTTTGGTCACCCTCACAGGGAAAAAGGGTTTCTTGATGTTTATAGGGAGCCTCCTAAATATATACCCACACTTAACCAAAGAAAAGCAGAGCCAGGTCAGCCTCTGCACGCCTTCACCATCAACACTGTCATGAGTTACTCTCCCTAAGAATCAGCTCATCACTTTCACTTCCTATGAGCTCTTATTTTCTCTTTTTTTTTCCCCCTTTCAAGCACCCAAAACCAGCCCCAGGTGTTCAGGAAACAAGGCTAAGGCCAGCAAGTGGCTAAGGCCAGCAAGTGCCCGCAGCCCGCCAGCCCCGAGCTGTGGGGAGGCAGCGCCGGCAGTCACGGGCACGACCCTCGCAGGCCGGAGAGAGCCCAAGGGCCATCCCACGGCGACAGCGACCTGGACACCCCCGCACCGCCCCGGGGCTCGGGGAAGGCTCGGGGAAGGCCCGGCACGGCCCCTCCCGGCACAGCCCCTCCCGGCACGGCCCCTCACCTGCCCCGCTCCGCGGCCCCGCTGCCCGGCAACGCGGCGGGAGGGACCTGGGGGGCGGGGCGGGGGCACAGCATGATGGCGGCGGGGTTTAAAGGGCAAGAGCAGCGCCCGTTTTGTACAGACTTTTGAAAAGACCCAAACCATGGTTGTGGGGATTARGTCTACCATTAGCAAATTCACGGATGCCAGCAAGGTGTGTCGGAGTGGGCTGGAGGGTACAGCGGCTGAACTTGAGCCAGCAGTGTGTCCAGGTGGCCAATGGCATCCTGGCTTGTGTCAGCAATGGTGTGGCCAGCAGGGCCAGGGCAGGGATTGTCACCCTGTACTCACCACTGGTGAGGCTGCACCTCGAATACTGTGTCCCCTCAATGCAGGGAGGACATTGAGGTACTGGAGCATGTCCAGAGAATGGTGACAAAGGTGGTGAAGGGTCTGGAGCACAAGTCCTTTGAGAAGCAGCTGGGGAGGCTGGAGTTGTTTAGCCTGGAGAAGAGTCTCAGGGGTGACCTTATTGTTCTCTACAACTGCTAAAAGGAGGCTGGAGCCAGGTGAGCATCAGCATCTTCTCCCAGACAACCAGCAACAGTGTAAGAGGACACAGTCTCAAGCTGTGCCAGGGCACACATTAAGGTTGGACATTAAGAAGAATTTCTTCACAGAAAGGGTGATTAGACAGTGGAAGGGTCAGCCCAGGGACGTGTTGGAATCACCATCCATGGTGGTGTTTAAGKAAAGACTGGATGTGGCACTTAGTGCCATGGTCTAGTTGACAGGGTGGTGTTCAGTCATAGGTTAGTCTTGATGCCAAAGGACTTTTCCAACTTCATTGATTCTGTGATCCTGTGAACATTTTAGCACCATGTCATCAGCAGAGCCCATGGCGGGAAGGCTGGTCCCTGAGTGTCTCCCTGCAGCCTGCTGGCCCCTGCATGTCCCCTGGCCCCAAGGATACCCTGCTGGGTTAGCAGTGTTAGGGTGGCATGTCCATCRTGCCTTTGGCATTCTTGCACCTCCTTTCCTGGCTTGGATGAAATGTGAAAAAAATGCTGACTGAACTGAAAGAGAGACAGGGCAATCTATTCCCCCAAATTCCCTTTACTTGCAGTAGCTGCTGCTTCCAAGGACAGCTCAGCCACAAGCAACCTCTGCTGGGCAGGCTCTGCAGTCCCGGACATTCAGGACAGCAGCACCACTGAGGGTCTGTCACCACTGAGAGCAGCACAGCCAGTGCCAGCTGCTTCTCAGCACCTGCTGCTCCAAACTGACACCATGAAGCAGCAAGGGCTCTCCCACCACTYCAGAATGCCAAGAAACTAAAGTGCCCTCTCTGCCTCAAAGTCTTGGTGGACAGCTACAAGTCTTCTTTCTACTGCAGTTAAAAACAGCACCGGAGGTAACCTGAATGGCAACTTGTAAAGACAGCTGCACATCTCTTGGTTACAAAGCAATACCCCTCCTGTCTCTTGTAACATGGACTGCACATAGCCCAGGAACTCAAATGAACTTGGTAATAGGATTATTCGCTTCAGAGAGCCTTCAGAAGCCATTGCTCCACGGAAACTTGGGTGCTGCATGCTTGAAACAGGCCAAGCAGTTACTGCAGAAAGCACACAATCTCACTAGGAGCCAGGCCTTTTTAATCCACATTATGTCCCCACTGATGAACATGTAAGGCCATGCAGGACAAAGATAAAGTGGTGGGCTCTGGAAAGCAAAAAGCACACATTTTAACAACTGTGTAACCTTTCATAAAATATGAATACTTAGCAGAAGCTGAAGGCTAACTACTTGGCCTCAAAATACTTTGCAGATTCCTGTAACTACATGAAAACAGCAAACTCTAACATATGATGACATACCTATTCCTTAGTTGTTTTAAAGCATCATTTAAAATGATGCTCATCACTCATGGAAGAACACTATAGCAAGAAAAACCTGAAGCAGGCACTATCCGTYAGGGCCTTACAAAATGCAACTCAATTAAATTGATTCCACAATGCAATTTCTCAAAGGTGTCTAGCAATAACAGATAAACAGCAAGATTYGTATTATCTCTCATCTGCAGTCATCACAACTCTTCCTTAAAATGCTCAAAAAGTAAATGTCATAGTCTCAATTATTCCAACAATTTGGTCCAGTGCAGTGAAATCATGCAAAAAACTGCCACACTGTATTATGGGAAGCAGCAGCATGTAGGTGGATTTTTTTTTTTCTGTATTTAATGAAATGTATTTTCTTAGAATCATAGAATGGCCTGGGTTGGACCCCAGAGATCACCAGCCACSAGCATGAGCACTTTCACTACACATTACTCAGAACTCCAACCAGCCTGGCCTTTAMCATTTCTAGGGATGGGGCATCCACATCTTTTCTGGGCAACTTGTTCTAGTGCCTCATCACTCACAGTAAAGATTGTCTTCCTAACACCTAACTTAACCCTACTCTCTTTCAGTTTGAAGCCACTCCCCCTTGTCCTGTCACAACATACTCTTGTAAGTCGTCTCTTTATATGAATCCATGCTGTTTCCTAGAAGTATTTCCCCCCACTGTATAATACCAAGTCTTAGATATAAAAAACATTTGAAAGTATGTCCATGGATGCAATTGTTGCTTTATAGCAGCACTGCCAGAAATGCTGCTATATAACCAGCATAGCTTAGAATTTCTGCTGCTTCCTACTTCCATCACTCCTGCTCACAACCAGCCAAAATAGCCCATGTACTCTCCATTCTAGTCCAGGAGTATTTTCACATTCCTTACCTAACTCTAGCAAGCCACTCATGCAATTTGTATCTGCTGAGCATAGCACACCAGTGCAGCTCTCCACTATTTAAGTTCCAACACAGAAACCCTATCCAATATAAACAAAAGAGCTTTGCAGTGTTCTCTGCTTTTGTAAGCAACAAGGAATTCTAAGTAAAACAAGCATCCTTTTCCAGGAACACAAATGGCTGTTGAAAGTRAGGAAGGTGAAATATCACCCCCTCCTCCCACATCTGATGTCAGACAACTCCAGATGTTTGTCTTCTTATTTAGGGAAAAAATGTGCCTTGGCAGCTTTGGTGTTGGCCATTACTCAATAGGTAAGAGATAATAGCAGTTAAGCAGATAAGCAGAAAAACTGATGTGCAAGGCTGTGAAATAATCTTGTCATTGCTCCATCTCTCCATATTATATTGAACACAAAACATTCTGTTTATTTTGGAACTGTATTTGACCTCTGGAAATACAATCTCTTAAAATTTTCCATTATTAAATAACTTTGATTTCACCGTATCACTTCTCAATTTATGGTGACTTCTTAATGAAGAATTTCAATCCAGAACCATAGCTTTAAAAAAATTGCTGTTAATGATGCAATTCTTTAGTTCCAGTTACCTAATTAAGAACTGAAATACCAGAGTACGAGAGATTTAACTTATCATTATGGYTGTAAAAGTTGTTTCCTCATCAGTTTCAGAAAACAGCTTCCTTTAATTTGCATCCTGAACTTCATTATTATACCAAGATTCAATTCCTTGTTTAATGTTTTTATTATCATTTCTGCCAAGAACCTCACTCATTACCCAGGCTGCACAGTGGCCATTATTCCCAAGGCAAGCAGAACAACACTGATCCTACCAAGAACCTTTTCAACCTAGATGTAAAAAACTGGACAGTGAAGTCCAAGGAAACAAAATGATGCTGATCAGCATGCCAGGCAATCAAAACCCAGTCATTTGTGCTTTTTAAGTACAGGCCTTTGTGAGGCGTTTTACAGAGTTGTCTAAAGAACTGTGTGGCTGCTGTGAAGATTTTTACGAAGACCTTTATGCAAGCATAGGGGAAGGCAAGGAAAGAATTCATGCACCCAGCTGAAAAGTCATGTGAGCACTGTAATAGGATGGAATTGGCATCTTACTGGGGAAGTTACTGACACAAAGCAGTTACAGTGATTGAGAAGGGTCCACAGAAACAAAATCAAGTAACTTTGGCTTTACTCAACAGAGAAAGGGCAGATAGAAAAGATGCAGAGTTTTAACTATTTTTAATCAATATAAAATAATCTGTGTAAAAACAGTCAAAGCCATGCTGCAATTAACTTCTTTCAATATGCACCAGATAGCCACAGAGCCACCTGACAGTTGTTGGATCAAGGCCTGTAGAATTAACAACAGCATTAGATTCTCAGCACACAAAGGGGGATACAATTGAGCCAGAACACACCTCCAGCCCCTCCATTCAAGACCAAGATCAACACAAATTGAGGTGGAAAAGTGTGCTCACACACACACACAAACATACAGTCTGTCCCACTTGAAAAGTAATAGAAGCCCACACCATTCTGCATCACTCCAGAGGAGTACACAGCACACAATAAGGCAAACCACTGAAATTTAAAACAATTTATAAAGTACTGTTATTTAATTTCTGTTCTCTACAACCTCCATCTTCTTCCCAAAATGTGTAAAAATAAGGAGATGAGGAGATGAGATTTCTGAAAAGATCACAATAGACAGTTTTGGAAACAAGCTCCACCTGGGATCAGTAAAGCAGTGCAAATGCCAGCACAACAGTTGGATTTGAAACCAGTTTTCCATAAAAAAAAGCAAATATACACAGTGTAAGCTACATCAAAATAGCTGCAGTTCACATTGCACAACTGGTTTGATTTGCTTTTTTCTTTCATGACTTGTAAAATACTAGTAGTAAGAAACAGCACAAAGGCTTTTTCTTAAATAATTTTAATATTRAGACCAGTTTGTCTGGATAAAAACACGAAGTTACAAGTACCACACTACTGCAAATTCTGTCTGATGCACAGTAGTGCTTGCAATATTTCAGTGGCAAGACCATTTTGGAACTGTTTGTCAAAGTAAGAATGTATGTTACCAGTGAACTTATTATTGTGAAAATATATCTGTCCCACAATGTACATCACTGTAAATAATCAAATGCAATATTTATGGACATAAAAAATATATGGGGTGAATATATACTCAGTTTAGCATTAAATCAGCAACAGTGAATGAAAGAAATATTTTGGGCTATTTTTCTATGATTTCATGTCAC